AGGGCTCACCGCACTCCGGTCGTTCCCTTGCTACAATTGGGCAGCGTTCTGATTGGCGTTGTGCGCTGTAATATTTACAACGATGCGTCGAACGCGTAACGTCAGGACCTGTATACCTTACGGGGTACTCACATGGGTACATTCAGGGTGAGTGAATTGGAGGAAGTACCGAGCGAGACACTCGACTAACGCAAACGATCACAACCTTAATTTACTCTATGATGATGGCGATGATGCTGCTGAGTTCAGGCAGGTCGCAGAGCCATTGTGGGGTTGGCCCAGCCCCCCCCGAGGCCAATCAGAAACATCAACTTCCGGATTCATCCAGTGTCAGAGTAATGATCCAGGCGCCGCTGCAAGAGTCCTCGACGACGGGAAAAAAGAGGGAAGCAGAATTAATTGTCACAAAGAAATTTAGAATTCCACCAAACAGGCCGATCGGCCAGGTCATCAACACAACATGCTCTGTACATTATCCTAAAATGTATTGAACATCCACCTGCAGCATTCGAGCATACCTGGCAAATATTAAGTACCTTCCCGCCTCCCTTCGGATCCTGCTTACAGTTTCACCTCCCAAAGTAGAAAAAAGAGTGAAATTCGAACCACCAAGAAAAAAAATAAAATTAAAAAAAAAGGAATTAAAAAAAAAATAAAATAAAATAACAATCAAAAGCAAGCAATTCCTTTTTCAGTCTGATCGAATAATTCCTCGAGAACAGCCCACAGGTTGACTCGCATTTTCACCGGCTGCCGGAAAGTGTGAGCCGGACAATGACGGTCCTTCTGGCTCAGATCTGCCCTATTATGATTTTCCTCTCAGGAGGGCGGTCACTTGATCCATCTGTGACAGCTCATCAGTCAAAAACCACCTATCAACAACCCGCCCTCCGCAAAAGTCCCCAGCTCAATTTGTCAACAAATGCTTGCTGGTTTTATTTTATTTTACCTTTTTTTTTTTAATCCCACTTTGTTTATTTTTTATTTTTATTTTTATTTTTATTTACTTTTTATGCATCTTTCCACTGCAATCCGCGTCAGACCTCTTGGTTTTCTTTTTTTCTTTTCTTTTTCTGTTGTCCTCTTGACGGAGCAGTTGACCCCTTTGTGCTGGATGACGGGACCTGAGCCTCAGATCACACACATGCTCTTGCATGAGAGATCCGAATTGGCCCCTCGACCGACTGTCATGCCGCTCTGGTCGTTTCAGGGCAATATCTGACAGTTCCTTTTTTTTTTTTCGACGTGCGTCTTCGTCGCATGCTTGTCTCCACCTGCTGGTTTCGGCTACTCTTTGCATTATTCTGTGCGTCCCTGGGGCCATCCGGAGCTCCTTTGGGATGTGTCTGCGTCTTCTGTTGATGTGTGTGTGTGTGTGTGGATGTACGGTCCCCCATCCACCCGAGGTGCAGCACGTAGTTTAGGTTACATAAGATTACGGGAGAACGTCTGTGTAAACCGCGCCTGACCCCGTGACCCTCCTGGCGGCAAAGACACAGCCCATGAGGTCGTCGACTGTGGCGGGCGGAGAGAAGCTCCGCAACTAATCATTCTGCTGAAGAACTATTTTTTTGGGGAAATGCAACTATACTCACAGCAACCATGGGAAAAAAAAAATTAACCAAGCAGGGCGAAGACGGGCTCCGAAACCCGTCAAAACGTCCCCGACATTTTTTTTTTTTTTTTTGACACAGCCCCTTCCAAAAAAAAAAAAAAAAGAGGCCAGAAATATCGAAATTTTGGCCAGAAGTACTCCGTACATAGCTATCAGATGCCATTAGAAGTGATCGGTCGTTGCTCCGTTTACGGCTGAGAAAACAGCAGCGCATTAAAAAAAAACTCCACGACTTATTTTCGACTGGTCACGCCTGAACAGCCCATCTTCGTTTTCCCGCCATACCCTTAGACCTTCGAATTCAAGCACATCCTTCGCAAGACCGCCTTCCCGGAAAGTTCTCGTAAATCCTTTGCTTCCTGACTTCCCCGAGCCCTTTGGTCGTGAAGTGAGTTCGACGATGGGGGTGTGTGTGGAGCCCACGAGCTAGACTCCGGTCCCGTTCCGGATCCCACTGCGCTGGGTTACGCGGTGGGCGGATCAAGGTTATGCAAAACAAACACGGGATCCATTTTCTGCCGAAGGAAAAAAAAAAAAAAAAAGGAGGAAAGCAATCCCGACGGAATTAAAAGCAATACAGAGTACTCCGTACTCCGTATAGCTTTGCTATTCCTCAACCGCATTGCTTGGTGAAACGAGTAGCCGGTTTTGGGGGAAGGAGTTGGTTAGTGGTAGGCTTAGGGAAAATCAATCGCAAACTTCGCGGGACTTGACCGAGGAAACGGGCCTTGAGAAGAGACGGTGAGGGCGGAAGAGGTTTATTTGCCCTTTACTGTCCAAAAAAAAAAAAAAAAAAAAAAAAAAAAAAAGGTATTAGTTCGTCTTTCTTTTCCACCATCCATACAAATTACTCCGTACTCCGTAGGATGTATGCCGTTTTGAACAGGCCGACTAGTATCGCTCAAACTAGTTTTACGCGATGTCGAGGGACCGAAAACTGTTGGTTAGAATCTGGGGAAAGGAAGCAACGAATGATGACAGGCGGCAAGGAGTTGTGCGCGCTTAGCATGAGCAAGTGTAGCTCAAGGCCACGAGGGCTCTTTTTTCGGCGAACAGCGAATTGTTCTGCATCGCTTCTTTCGCCTCATCAAAGGCGCAGGTGATAATAAATTTCAACCCATGACAACGTGCATGTATGGATGGAGACAGAAGTATAGTTAGTCACTTCTGAAGTAACAGTACTCCCCGTACGAGCTTCGTTGATTCCAAAAAAAAGGCACCTTTCGTCGTCATTTTGTCCGGGGAAGTTGTGACAGATACCTGGGATCGGGTTATGGGCCAAGGATACCTCTCCCCATCCATCAGCTACCTATTACATCTTTGCGTAACTGTGGAATAGTTACAGTCCTCCCAAGAATCCCGCATCGGCTTCTTTCCTCTATCCAGGTTGCCGACGACATTGTCCGTGTGATGGCGTCCGCAGAGCGGTGCACTACATACAAACGTATCTCTGTACAACTCATCTCTTTCAATACCCGACGCAATGGGCCACTTCGATAGGTGGACCGGGATCGCGACGTATCAATACATATATATATCCCAGACCTCTTTTTGCCCTTAAGGCGATTTTCGATCGATAATAAATAGTAACTGGATAGTTAATGGAGGGGGCACAAGGGAAAAAAAAATAACTACAACAGGGGGTTCGCATCCGCGAAAAAGGATAATAATGCAATTTCTGTCCACACTGTGAAAGATTTCCATTTTATAGCACGCGCATTAACTGCTGACCGCTGCGTTGGCAGACTTGACTTCCTATCGCAGTACTCCTTGCACATTAGTCAAGGGGATCAACGGACAAGGCTAGCTTCACTGCGGACTACGGTTGGCATGGAAGTTCGGGGGGATCCGTCCTGGCCCTTTTCGCCCAGTATACATCAAGCCTGCGTGCGTGACGTTCTGCAGGAGAACATTCAGATGGAAGATCATGCTGGATTAACTGGCAAACGGAGAAATCATGTTGCCGGCAGGGCAAGTTCTAAGCTTGGATGACGGGAGCGGCTGACGGTTGACGCGCCTATCATCTCTCCCTCCTTGTTCTTTTGCTTTACGAGTCCTCCCTGCCCGGAAGTACATCGTTGACGAGGTTTGTTAACTGACTGCTAGCGATGCTTGTCTCCTAACGTCAATCCCATCCTTTTTGATCACGAGTCTCGGATGAAAGCGATAAGTTACCCGACCTACAACGCTCCTTCAGATTCCAAGACATGTGGAGAAAAGTCGCTGTCGACATCCCTCGCCAAACTATCGGATTCACCCCCTCCCGCGCCTGACACACTACCTTAAGCTTTCGACAAAATAAAGTGCGGAGACAAACCGTCGGTGCTTGCCACGAGGCGTTTCATTCCGGTAATTCCCCCCCCCCCCCCCAAAAAAAAATTTGCCTTCATTTCAGGTATCTGGTTTCTGAGGCTGTCTTTATGGGAGCCCAACTATGTCATGCGTTGCCAGGCCATGTTACGCAAAGAATTTCTACAGCTGAAAACTCATCGAAAGAAGAGAGGGGGGGAGAAAAGGATATGTGCTCCATAGAATTCAGAACTCGCGGCCAGACATGCCGTGAAATTGAGATTTGAGCTTGGATATTACGATCGACTTTGAGGAATCGCTGGGAAAGCAGAGGAGCGGTCAACCTCTCTGGATGTATGTAAACTAGGTTATTCCCCGTGGTCATCAGCTTGCTGCTGAGTGGGTGGCTTTTCTTCCGGTTATCTTTCTGCCCTACTCAATTATTGCATCGCGAGCCTATTGCTGGGCAGTAAGGCTGACTGCCTGGGGTTTCCCACGTGATTGAATCGTCGCCAGCGAGACGGTTAAAGTGCTGGCTCGGGTGGCCTTACTGGGACCGTCAGTGATGACACAAATAGCCGTTGTGGGCGACAGGGGCCCCTGGCAGGAGAAAGGATATCACAGGCAAGACAAGGGGGAAGGTGGTTTTTTCAGTCTGGCAGGCCACGGTATCCCGCACAACTTGGGAGAGTCACGAGGATATCAGACTTTTTTTTGCATTTCTTTTCTTTTGAACAACTCATCCCTATATGTCATCGTCAGGAGCAAAGAAAGTCCTACTTCGTTTCTGACATTCGATTGCAAACTCGTTACCTACAGCCTGTCCCAATGTTTTTTGTTTGTTGTGACAGGCTGGCAGTCGTCGAGGTTGTGAAACGCAAACACGTCTCCATGGGCCCCTCTCTTTTTTCCCCCTTTAACTCCTCAATTGCTGAGCATGCACCGAGGGAATTCTCGGTTTATACAACATTGCCAGCAAAGCTCAGCCTCCACCTGGTCGAGACAGGAGGACCGAGAAGCTGATAAGCGTTGAAGCTGAGGATCGCGCTTATTTTTTGTAGTTAGCTTAGCCGCAACTCTCTTCCCCTCTCCCAAATCACATGAACTCCGTTTTGCCCCCATCTGCATCTAAAAACGGGATCTTGTGGCGAACAGCACGCACGAGCTTAAACTTCCCCAGACTCTCTTTTGTGGAGGCCCAGAAGGAAAAGGCAAGCAGCCACGGCTCGCATGCTTCCGCATCACTGGTGTTGAGGGGGCCAGGAAATGTTTTTGTCTCATAGAACAAGAGCCCACGTTCAATCTGGTCAACCCCATTCCGTTTCCATCCGACAATTTTGTGCGATTCAAACCATCGCACGAATCTCCTTCGCAAATGCAGGAGTCAAGAGGTGTTTGGGGGAAGAAAAGTAGGTTTTTTTGAGGAAAAACCCAATTGCAGAAAACGATGTTACTATGCTGCGAACTTCATGCTGCTTGCCACTTCACATTCCCATTGCTAGGGTTCCCTTTGTCGGCTCTTGCTCGTCCTTGGAACCCGGGACGAGCGTTTCATAAAATGGAACAAGCCAAAAGCCCGAGGGTGAGATCGTGTGTATTTCAAGGTTCTGTTTTTACGTTTTACCAGATCGTACCAGACTGTCTGGACATCTATACATAACCTGACAAACGTAGGACATACGTCCAAAATTGCGAGATGCCAAAGGCTGGTTTCATTGGATCCAAGCCGTTGGAGTGATCGCTTTTCTGGTTTTCTTTGTTTGTCATGCCCTTTTTGGATCATTTATCTTTCTGCGCCACAGGAATAGCACTCCCTCCTTTTTATTTTTCGGATTAAAAAAAGGGACGCCGTTGGAGAAATTTGTCGCACAAAGACTGAGGGGAGAATCTCACCGGCGGATCTGGTGTGAGCGGCGCAGGAGGCATGCTCGTTTGCTTCCAAAAGAAGATATCTCCACAGGGTTTGCTCGAGCTTTGTATGTCTTTGCGGAAACCCAAATTAAGTTCATGTAGGGCTGGAACCAAGACACAGGCGAGTGGGTTCGCGGCTTGGTCATGTTCTCCCCCAGTTGGGATACATATGTTTGCTGCTCCCGTCCCCTTGTAGCCAAAGCGTGCTATTTATATATACCATGGTTTTGAAAATTAAGTTGTGAAATTGGACTTGAGAAACCTAGGTGCCTTGATGCGGTTTTGATGGCTTCCTCATTGATTCCCCATTCATGCTTGATTACAACCCCAAACGATGATTCCTTTATTCTGTTGTTTTGATTCCCCATCAAAGGCTGTGGGCCTGGGATCAAACTGACATGACAGATCGGAAGCTACGCGTCTGATTTCGATGGGGATCGACAGTCGATGGGAAATGGTATACGGAGTACAGCAAACCCGATAGCTTGGTCCCTCGACTTTCCCCACGGGCCACCACAACGCTCATTTTGAAGCTTAGACCGGCAAAGGGGTCCAAGCTATGGATCATCGATCGCGATCGCGGCCATCAAAGTCCGGCCAGGACTGTTTTGGCCACGGATGAGGGATGACTCGCATACCGATTCACTCACGTGACCCAATGCAGGAGGGCCAATTTTCGTCGTTATCCCATGAATGTCGAATGAGGAGCTATGACACAGCACAGAATTTCAGATCGATTCTTTGGCGAAATCTCATCCCCCCCACTTCTGCTGTTTATTCGTGACGCGACTTCGTGGAATGTGACACTGGTACTCCGTACCATTACGGAATATCTACGTGCCAGCTTTAAGGGAGAACAAAAAAGGGAGAAAAATAAAATAAGACGTGTCAAAAACTTGATTGCCCAAGGGCGTTTACAGAATATGGTTGGGTCGGAACCTACACGATGTGTGCATGGGCCGGCTGGGGAATGCTCAAAGGCAAATCGACTTTGATCTCCATCCGTGTGGATTTGCAAGGTGACATGTCAGCAAGGTACGACAGCTTCCTGCGATTTGGCATTAATTCTCAGGGTTTTTCTTTACTTAGGTAAGGAGTATACGGAGTACACCCATCTCCATTTATCCCCTATCACAACCCAATGGATGCCACGCTTTGAAGACCCATTTATGGTCGAAATCTATACAATCCGCTGATATGAACGCATTCTTTACTGAAGAGCTCATGTCCGTCGCACAGATTTACATTGTCTAATATTCAACTTGGGATGCCAGTTGATCCGCGATTCCGCGCAAGTTGCCCTATTGCTGTGAAATTGATCCTGGGCTTTAGTTTTGGTCTGATTGTCTCTAACCTTGTACACCTCCGAAATTTATTAATATCTCTACAATTTGGAAGGAGGGTCGGGTGGAGATTTTTGTAGTGTGTGTAACCAGACTGCTCGCTGAATTGCGCGCACACTGAACACATGTTTGCACATCCTTGAGATGTACACACCATAAGGAGTGCATCACAAGTCAATTTTTTAAAGTGCTCTTACGCTTTCGTACTCGAGCTCGAATTCGAAACCGAAGCTTGGCTGGAGAGCCTTGCCATTTCGTATTTTCACTTTTATCCACACTACCTGGAGTAGTGCTGGGCGTTTAAATTCAGAGTTGGCGTGTATGAATGCACAACTCTGGAGGAAATGAGGGTGTCGTCACACTCGCCGCTCTGCCTGTTGAACTAACTATGTCAAACTTCGCGTCACCCAATTTAGCTGAAATTGATGATTTTGCGTCCACGCTTGTTTTCTTAAGTTGGAGGCTCAAAGCCGCGGGAGCAGGGATATGTTGCTTGGAAGATGTTCGGTTCCCTCTCAAGAGGGATGGTGGTGTTAGTGGTTTGTTCCTGAACTGTTAAACCTCTACTCTGGGGCGGTCATGATATTCGAAGTGCCGGTCTTGGATGGTGAGTTACTAGCTCACAACAACAACAAGGCTCGCTCGTGGGGTGAGTCGCCGCCTAACACGAAGCTCCCGTTCAGGCACGAAAATAAAGTGAATGGCGGGAGGCCTTGAAATGCTTTGTATGCGTATTGGTATTTCACTAGGTTGGACGATCTTGAGCTTTGGATGAAAGATCTCGAACATCCATTTTTGGCGAACGGCGGTCAGCTCAGCATTGAAGGCTGAAAGGAGGAAATATATCGCTGGGTTTCAAGAAGCGGCTGGGTACGGTGGCAAGTATGAACAGTACCAACCAAGCCTAACCACCTTCAATCATGCAGCAACGCCAGGACGGTGCGCTCTTCGGAGCATTTTCCCAGCAAGTGTTCGCTTCCGTAATCAGATTGGTGCAGGGAGAGAAGAGGATTCTTGATCGGCTGTGCTTGTTTTGATGTTGGAGGTGCCCACATTCGCCTCTTTCCAGACACCGGGAACAGGCGACTATCAGTGGAGCAAGGCTAGAACAATACGCAGCTGGTCTGGAATATGGGAATACACGGTCTCGCTGTTCGATTTAGGAATTTCCTCCGGGGCAGCTGGTTTAGGATTCCACCGTCGGCGCCATCGAAAAGCCACTTTCAGGGGTTGGGGCCCTGAAGAATCGCCCGGCCAGGAACCTGTCTGATTGGCCCTGTTCCGGGAGGTCACGCGGCCAAGCCGGTTCACTGCTGGGCCCCGCAGACGGCGTCTATTCTAGCGCCGGGGAAGCGTTGCTACGCTCCGAGTACCAGGGCGACGGGATTTGGGGGAGATTTGTGAGGCATCGCCGGTGGAGATGCGGGCGAGCTGACGGCTGCCGTCGTCCTTGGCCGTGGTGCCGGCTAAATACCCCGGATGAAGAGGAATATCCTTAGTGAATCTGGTGTTTTGACAAGGGCTGAGGGGAAGCGTTGATAGTTTCCAAAACTCCGAGCTTTGCTGCTTTTTTCCAGGGGTATAGTTACGGAGTGCTCCATATGGACTCCGTACATCATGTTGGTATCCTTGTTGATGCAACGCGTGGTGGTAAGCAAAAAGGGATGTATCGGGCCTGTTGTCTGCCTATCCCGCCTTGGGACCCTTGTTCCCAAAGTCATACGACATGGTTCTTGTCACAGTATCACCGTGTGCCCCCTTTTTTTCCGACGTTGAAAGGATCTCACCACAATCGCGGAATGAGCCCGCTCGCTGCTGATGCCGCTTCCTCGCCTTTCAGCTGGTTCGCTGACTATTATCGCTCAATTCAATGGTGTCTTTCTAAGTCAATATCCATTTGATCTCGGACTCCGTAGCTCCATTCCCCTCTTTGCGGTGATCAACTTTATCCACCGCAGGGATCACTAAATCGTATAGAGGGACATCAGAACGTCCAACGCCGGAGCTCTCTGTTGCGAATAGTATCTGGACTGCCTTTGCTCCGCGTGGACCTACTCGCAACGACGCCTGATACTGTGCTACATCCGGGGAGCAATTCAAGCGCTGAAGGCCGTCTGGGGCGAATTTCATGGGCATAAGGGGTATTATTACTTCAAACATCGGTACAAGGATGCACAAGGGCGGAAAATGGTCTTCTGGGGTTTCGAGGGCTCTCCTCACAGTCCAGATTATGATTTTTTAAGACCTTGAATCCAAAATGTCAGATCTTAGGTATAAATTGTGAACCACACTAGAGGCCACGTCCTCTATCATGAAGTGGCTTTCAGTGGCTAGCGACCCGTGCACGATTCCGTTCTCCTCACGTTTTTGTCCGTAAAACAATTTTGAATCCACCCCTCTTGCCTGCCTGTGCGGCGGAGCTCACATTTCTAGTAGTATGGCTTTCCCGTCAGAGGATGTGAAATCAGCCCTGTGTCTACAAATTCTGTCTGGGGTTGGAGGGATGCCTTATGCAGTGTATCCATCACGGATTTGTGAATATGGATGGCGGCGGTGGACTTCGTATTATTCCCTCAACGATTAGATCTCCAGTTTCTCGAATTGAAGCATTTGAGAGGCGATTCTCTTGTTGGGAAACACACAGAATCAGCGATTTTCGCTACCCACAGTACCTACCTCGTGTATGCGCTCTCTCTCACTCTCACTCTCTCTCTCTCTCTCTCTGTCTGTGCAGTACAGAGTACATGGCATGTATTATTCCGTCCGTCCCGAGCATGTGGTTATTGCCTATAGCAGTGAGAGTGCCATTACGATTGTTGTGGCTTTGCAAAATCAGAGAGAGTCGATGATGCGAACAAAGTTTCTCTGGTTGACGATATCTCGAAGTTCAACTGATGGGGAAGGCTGGCTTGAGGTTTGAAAATTTGGCATTAACTATCCTTCAGGTCGGACATCTTACCATGCATTGATGTGTGGTTAGTTAACTACCAGGCAGCTTACAAAATCCCCAGGTCGGGTTCCTTAACCATTTGGACCAAGCGTAACATGTGGGCTTAATCCAACCATCCAAGATCCTCTTTTGTTGAGTTCGGTGAAGAGCACAATCGTACTCTGCCTTGAAGCTTTGATACTCCCAGCCGCTAGGTGATGGAGTTCGTTAACGAACGTGTGGCCATACTAGACAACCGCCCAATCTTTGTCTTGCCAGGTGGGAACTCTGCACTCTCACACCGCAAGGAGCTCCGAACTTTCGAGCTCGTCTACAGTCCGATCTGGATAGGCAGCGTGTGTGGAGATGTTGCCTGGCTGCCAAGCGCGCGAGAATCGCCTCCACCAATCACGAGGTGGTTGATGTCGCTGGTTTGTGCTGTCTTGGAGAATCGCCTCCACCATGTCAGGCATCAAGGGCCTGAAGAGAGCACTCTGCTGGATTCAGGTGCTGCAGGAAGCTCATTTTTCTGCGGTTGATGGCTTGATTGCCTCTGAATTGTGGTGAACATGCTCTCATCGCGTGGTTCGAGGCGACGTCCGGCGAGAGACTGCGTGCTCTCTCCGGATTTCCCCACCATGTTGCCTAAGGTTGCCTGGCTTTGCTTCCCCTGAGAAGCGAGTTCGGAACTGGATCAACAGGTACAAAAGCTACGCCAGCGTCCATTAAACCTTTCCTAGACAGTAGCAGTTTCGTCCTTCCATTGCCGATTGCTTCCAAGTTCATCCAGTTGTCATTGATTGATCCATTATTTTCCTTTGTCGTTTGCTTCTCGATTTTGTGGCTGCAAACACCTTCATCCCAGGCCAATGGAGCTTCCAACACGTATAGTCCCATTGAACGAATTCATCCCTTATCTGGCAAAGCAGAGCCGCAATGGTATCCTGAACGGGGGTGCCCTCGACGCCTTCCAGACTTATGAGTCCAAGCTTCGCGAGATCTTTGCGCAAGAGCCGGACAGCGAGACCATTGCTGACCCGCATGTCAATGTCGTTCCGATCTATGCCGGATTCGAGGAGCAGCTCAAAGTGAAGCCTCGGAACTTGGAAAGTGAATCTGCCAGGGAGAGCGAGAAGTATCTCCTCCCCTTACATCCCACATTCCGCAAAGAGGAGGGGACCCTTGCTGCGGCACCGTCTCTCAGCGAGTTCAAAGAAAACTTCAGGTTATTTTCTGAATCTTCCCTTGTTGATTTGGATTGGAGCAATGTCGTTGTTGCTGGAAGCGCCGTAACGACTTGTCTCTTGCCCCTTACTGAGGAGCAGAAATCTTCCAGAAAGGCTCAAAGGTATGCGAGTTTCACCGCGATTGCGGGCAGTAATTGTATTATACCAAAGTTTCTAATCCTCGGCATAGAGAATTCTATCATGAAAAGATAGCCCCGGCATCGGATGTTGATTTATTTATTTACGGCCTGAACGAGGAGCAGGCCATTGAAAAAATTAAGCAAATTGAGAAATGTATCAGAAACAGTGTCCTAGAAGAGACAACTGTAAGAGCATGGCCCATTCACCCTTGATTAAGGCTGACTGGTTCGAAATAGGTTATTCGAACCAAAAACGCTCTCACAATTGCTTCAAGATACCCCACGCGCCATGTTCAAATCGTGCTCCGCCTCTATAAGAGCGTGTCGGAGATCCTGACCGGTTTTGACGTGGATTGCTCCTGCACGGCTTTTGATGGCTCGCAGGTATGGGCGAGTCCGCGGGCGCTGGCTTCATTTGTCACCCAGACCAATACTATTGACCTTACGCGACGCTCCCCTTCATATGAAAACCGTCTCGCCAAGTACTCACATCGTGGCTTCGAAGTCTACTGGTCGGGTCTCGATCGTTCCAGAGTTGACCCCACAATCTTCGAGCGATCCTTTACCCATGTAGTTGGCCTAGCGCGCCTCCTGGTAATGGAGAAACTCCCAACAGCTGGTTCTAGGGATCGCTATGTTGATCAGCGTCGTTCTGAACGTGGCAGGCCTCCGTCGACAAAGGAGAAGTTCTATAACAACCCTCACGGGAATTTTAAGGAACGCCAGCCGGAGGATATCGCAGAGTGGGTTGAAGAAGAAGATGTGTCGAGTTATCATACTTTTACTATCCCATATGGACCGAAATACACTGCCAAAAAGGTATTACTCCACTATATGAATGTTAGTTCATCTGGACGTGGAGTTGTTAATAGACCTACAGATTGAGAGATTGCTCTATAAGAAGGACTTACTTCTTAATGCTGAGTGGAATAAATCTAAAGAGCGCACCGTGGATCTGCATAGGCATCCCGCATTCTTCGGTGCGGTGCAAGACGTTATTGAAGATTGTTGCGGTTTCTGCCCGTCACCTGCCACGGAAGAGGAAATTGAAATTGCCGAAGAGGAAAGTCGGAGATTTGTTTCTGGGAAGATTCAGTTTATGAAGGACGACCCTGGAAGACAAGCGATCGGCAGCTTTAACCCTATAACCGATTCTGACTGGACTGAAATGGCTTACATCGGCGATACTGCTCGCCTTTGTCAAGCTATTGTGGACGGCGACCTTGAATGTGTTAAGAAGTGTTGTGCTAGAGAAGATTTCAACGTTGATCAACGGGATCACACTGGAAGAATGCCTCTTCACTTGGCAGTCATGTGCGGTACACCGGAAATCGTGCAGTACCTTGTCGACCGGGGAGCGAAACTCGTTGCGCGAGTTGCTGGTGGGTTCACAGTACTTCATATGGCAGCCGCGCGTGGGAACCCGGAAATTTTGAGAACTATTCTCAGAAAAAGCGAGGCGAACAAAGCTGAACATTCAGAGAAAACGGAAAAGCCACTGTCGCAGGGAAAAGGGCCTTCGTCTGGTTCGGGGGTTAGCGACGTTGAATCTGGAGATTCTGACGACGATGACATTTCATTTGTGCAAAGTGTGAGCGAGGGACCTTATGCTGCCACCCAAGGATCGATGGTCATGGTCAAGAAATCCGCCTCTGAGATCCAAAACCCCCCCGAAGAGAACGAGGATGAAGGAGAGGAGCCTAACTTTTATGACAATGTTGATGTACTGTCGTGGGACATGCCAATAAGCCCTCTTCACTTGGCATTGTTGAATGGCTATGCCGGCATTGTCGACATCCTCGCGACTGAGTTCGGTGCCAATATAGCCCAACCAATTGTCTGGAGAAAGCCATCTTATCAACATCACCATGATGTTACGCTTTCAATGGCTTTAGTTGCCCACAACCCTCTTGAAAAGTCAAAGGAAGTTCTAAAAACACTTTTGGAGTTGGGTGCTTCTTCAACACAGGCCGATATGCACCATGTCACAGCTCTTCACTCAATTGTCATGGAAGGGGAGAGCGCTTTGATAGACACCCTCTTTGAATTGGACGGACCTGCCGCCAAGTTGGCTATCAATCATCCCGCGTTAGGCATGTCATACGGCGATGAGCCAAGGCTGCCTTTATCTACCGCTATAAAGGACCGGAGCATATCGATGATCAAGAAACTACTCGAACATGGAGCAAGCCTCTCGATCTCGGGTGAACGCGTGCAAAGATTCTGGGCACGTTGGGGGAAGAATAACTCCGGCCCGGTAGAGAATCATCTTGCAGAGCCTATTATCATTGCGGCCCGGTTTGCAAGTCCAGCCATTATCAAAGTACTTTTGGATGCTGGTGCCGATCCCAATTCCTTGACACCAGAAGCTCACTCCGTGATGAATCATAGTGGTCAACGCGCAGGTCAACACAGAGGCCAACAGAGAGACCAGAGTGTGCTCGATATTGTCAAAATGAGAATGAAGTATCTGCGGGACGACCAGGCCGTAGTTGAACGCCAGTCGAACAGCCCTGAGCCTCCAGCTCTAAAGTCCGATTCGGAGTATCTCGAAGGGCTGCGTGAGGGTAGTTATGAGTATTGCTTCATCCAAAATGAGCTCGAAATAGCTAAGGCGGCCGTACGGGCGATGAAGAGTTCTCACGAGGAATATCTGAAGAAGCGAGCCAAAGAGGACGAAGAAAAAAAGCCGCGAGCTGAGTGGGTGGCCGCTGAACTCTCTGCTCTGGAAAATATTAAGGCGATATTATTAGAGAAGGGTGCGAAAACTTTTCAAGAACTTTATGCCAATTTTAAGGGGACGGCCGAAAATCAGGAGGTGAAAAACCAAGCGGCCCAGGCAATTGATGAAGCGGCGACTACTGAGAATGATTTTTCAATCGCCCGGACTTTCCATGATAATGATCTCGGAAAAATAAAGAGTGCTAGTTACATGCAGCTGTACGATACACCAATGCTCCCATTTTTCCTTGTCCCCTTATTTGTATTTTGTGTGCGGTCCATTTGCTAACTATATTTCAGGTTCGAGGCTGCCTGGGAAGGTGATATTAGGAAAGTGAAGGCTCTTACTCTAGGATCCTGGGGCGCTGACCATAAGAAGCCACCGCTCCATGTTTCAGTGAGAGATAGGCGAGGGGTAACCCCTTTCGTCATTGCGGTTGCTCGAGGTCATTATGAACTGGCCAAAGTTATCCTTGAAATTGCCGACGCCCAATATGCTCCTAGAACAGAAGCACCAACCCGAAAGAGATACGAAATCGTTGTCGACGCTGGAGAAGAGAGTGGCAGTGAGTGTTGCTATTCGGAATCAGAAAGCGAGGAGGAAGACAATCATGGGGTTTCTGTTCGATTTGATCTCGTCGACGAACAGCACACCATTGACGACGTTAGGGAGTTGGGAAATATTGTCAAATCATCAACTTCCCCAGCAGACATGGTTAGGCACTATAGTGATTTACGCATATTCTTTGATGCTGCTGAAAACAAACATGTGTTTGATGCACGTTTCAAAGGAACTAACAGCTACATGTCCCCGTTTATTTTTGGAGCCCACAAGCTAACGGCTATGGTAAGTAATTCTTTATGATGCTCTAGTGTTTTCTTTTGTCTTTACTGACCTGTATCTTATCTAGGGCACTTTGGAAAATCTTTGTTCTCGAACTGAATATGCGCACTCATCCGGCCTGTTCACCTATGCTGTTCAAAAGAACAACTTGGTCGCGCTGAAATTTATTATGGAACAACTTCAGAAGTATCAAGGGCCTACGGACGAAGATGCACCGCTCTTTCTTCCTGTTGCAAGTGGAGAATTTGAGAGGCCAATGGAAAATGGCTACACGGAGATTTTGGAGCATATTATTTCACAAACAGGAGCCGAATTTCCTCTCCAGGCGTTGATAAAGAAAGCCGGCGTAAAACTTGATTCAAAACCAAAGGCGAGTAAAGGGAGATCACTTACCTGTTGTATCTATGTCTAACATAAACTGCAGTATTACCAAGGTCTCACGGTTTATGGAAGCAAACGAGAGGACTGGGCAGCCGAGGATGGCCGTCATCGTTATCGCCGGTTCGAGGCGGAAGAAAATCTGCTTTTGCGTGCGGCCTTTACCACGAATCTTGAGTCTATTAAATGGTTCCTGAGTGACATCCCTGAACAAAAGTATAAAGAATTCGCATCCATGTACGCAGACGATAAGCGTATCAAAGCGTTTACGGATGTCCCTGGCGGCTTTGAAGGAGCTTTGTCGTCATGGCTAAATGCTCGACGTAAGTTATTATTGTGTTTTCTAGAAAATAGAATGCTTGCTAACATCATTTTTTTAGGCGATATGGCGCTTCACTGCGCAGTGCTTGGTAACGCTACCAAGGAGACAGGCGTTGCTCATGTCAAACTCATTCTTGAGGCCATTCCAACCTCTTTAAATGCTAAGAATAAGACAGGCATGACAGCATTGCAGGTTGCCTTTATAAAACGAAGGGTAATGGCTGCCAAAACCATTGTGGAAGCTGGGGCAGATCAAACAGTCCGTGATGAGACAGGCCGCAATTTACTCCACACAATCCTTACCCCTTCCATGGGAGAGGGTGTCATTAAGTCCCCCAACTTGTTTAGGGCTCTTTCCGGACTTCTGGACAAAGAAGTGCTTCGTTCATTGGCAACACAGAGATCGCACGTAGGGCGAGGAACTCATCAGTATAACTCCTGGAGTATGCTGACTCCACTGGCAGAATGGCTAGCCACAGCTCAGAACCCACACCCGGATATGCTTCGGACAATTTTGGAAATTACTGGTGGACAGGAACTTTACGTTCTCGACGGTGAAGGGAACTATCCAATCCATCAAGTCGTTCGGAAGAACTTCATCGATTTGGCGCGTGTCATGCTCGAGAGGGATCCAAGCCTTGCCCTCCTCGAAAATGCAACGGGCATAACCCCCTTGGAACTGGTCGAAAATAAAATTTTCGATGCTGTTCTCTCATGGTTGAGGAACAGTCCACGGAGGGTCCATTGTAGGATGAATGATGTTGATTGGAGGGGAAATCCTGTGGTATACGAGCCACTCAATGTGCAGCATACGTTTGGTTCACGCACTCAGAAAATAACTGATCCTAATGAGTTATACAAAAAGGATGGTATGGATACACCTCGCTTCTGGCCGACTGATCGTGTTGAAGGCAAACTGTACCATTTGCTTCACGAGACGGCGTCGAGGAATGGAATCAAAAGGAGATTGGCTAGCCTACGGGATGCTAACCAGCTTGTTAAGCGATTGGAGGCAAGGAAGAACCTCCAACAGAATGGGCAGGAGAACAACGCTAGTGAGCGTGATGAGGTTTCTCACTTTATGTCCCGTAGTCAGCTCCAGATGTGGGAACTTGACGAGATTTTGGAGAAGGTGAAAGATGATGCAGATGAAAGCGAATTTTAGTCTGGTCTTGAAAAGGCTGGAAGAGAATAAAGCTCAATTTGTAGCTAGTATGTAGATGGCAAGGTGGCGAATTTATGTGATAGTCTTCCCACGGTGTTGGGGTATGTAATACCATCCTGTTGTTACTTGTTTCTAATCTGGAGCAAAGCATGTACCTCGAGGCTGACTTTAGTAATGTGTTTAGTCGGCAAAGGAATATGGTGTGCCAAAGGTATTGTTTTATCTATCACTGGAAATCCATTTTATACTATTCCTTTGTTCAAAGCTTTATTCTTTCATAAAAAGAAGATTGGAAAGGCGGTCAATGTCCCCTCCAGTCTATTAAGGTGACCAGGCTTTTAATATTCATCCTCGTCCTCTCCAGCAATGATTACGTTGTTCACCTAGAGAGATGGTCAGAAAACAGGGCTTAAATTAGTGATGGCTACAAGAACATGCTTTACCTTTAGGACAAGTCTGCATAACTGGGTTGCAAGAAGTAATTGCGCACGCTTTCCGATGAGTGGATCAATGACAAAATGCTCTCTCATATCTGGACAAAAGGGAAACAAGGTTAGTGCTTATTCAACAAGGTATATCGGGAAGAGATAACAACAGAAGGCATACCGTTACTGCCAGTTTGCATGCAATCAACTCCCAGTCTTGAGTTGTGCTCCTTGACTTGTCGCGATTTGATTGTGGCTAGGGTTTCAATAGGGCTCCATCCGGAGTTCTCGGCAAGGGCCATGGGTACGGCATCCAATGCGTCTGCAAAAGCGCGCATGGCATACTGAGCCAATCCAGGACACTGGATGATTCAATAAATGATTAGCGCTTTTTTCTTTCTTTTACCTGAAGACTTGGAGAAGGTGCCTATCCTACCTTTTCAGCAGCCTCTTGCACGGCAAGTGAACAAGAAATTTCTGCTGCACCACCACCATATACAATGCGGTTATCCCGCACTAGGTTCCTGACAACACACAGAGCATCATGCAGTGACCGCTTGGCTTCATCAATAATCTAATAAAATTAACGGTCAGCATTAGCTGTCATCAAAAGTATCCTTGTGATAAATGACATACCATCTTATTACTTCCGCGAACAAAGACAGTGACAGCTCTGCTGTTTGCACACTCCTCGATAACCAGCATTTTCTCTCTCGTGGTACCAAAGGTCATTTCTCTAACCAGGCCAGCAGTCCCTAATTTTTCTGGGCTTAGGTCCTCAAATCGGGGAACAATTCGGCCGTTGGTGGCGATAGCAATCAATTCAATTTCGGGACCACCGACCCATCGAACTGCCGGCAAATCATTCTGGAGAAGAAGGTGGTTGGCTTCGTCATCAAAGCCCCATTGACAGATGACGAGATTTGCTCCAGTATCTTTTAGCTGTTGAATCATTTCAGTGAATTTATCTTTCTCATATTGTTGTAGCTTTTTGAATTCTTCGACGCTCGTAATATCGAGCTTGTGCTTGGTTTTCGGTTTTGGAGGTTCAAATGCACAGGTCAAAATTGCAAGTTTTGCATCCCTAACTTCGTCTGGCATTTGTGGATGCGAAAAATCCTTGTCGACGATAACTCCCTTTACGAGAAGCGACTGTTCCAAGGATCCTCCAACTTTACCGTCGACCTTAATCAGTTCGAAATCGACGTCCTTTCTTTCCAGATCAGCAACGGAAAGCACTGCGTCGACTGCGATCTTTGCAAAATGATCATGTGCTTTGGAAACGCTGCATATATCGATCAGCGATACCATCTTCCCAAGGTGGAACGAGAGACCCACATCTTGCTGCCTAGAGAAGTCTTTGCGACTTTCAAGAGGTTTTCCTGGTTATCACGGGAGAATTTAACCTCATCACTGATTTTGTCAAGATGTGAAACTGCGATTTCGCAAGCCTGGTCGAATCCATCCGCAATGCGGATCGGGTGAATACCCTTATCAATGAGGTCCGCAGCTTGTTCCAGCAGGGCACCAGCAAGTACGACGACACCAGTTGTTCCGTCCCCAATTTCATCATCCTGCGATTTGGAGAGCTCAACTAACAATTTGGCAACATTATTTGAAATTTCCATCTAGTTAGGATGTTTAGCCAGGCGACGGACTGGAACGGGGCAGGCGAACGAGCACACACCTGGGATAGAATGGTAGCTCCGTCGTTTGTGACGGTGATATCTCCGTCTGGCGAAATTAATATCTTGTCAAGCCCTCGGGGGCCCTAGATGATGCAAAAGGAGCGATTAGGACATGGCTCGCGTCCATCTGAAAGGAGAGGATGTAATACCAGTGATGTCTTGACAATATTGGATACTGTTCTTGCAGCTAAGATGTGTGATTTGACAGCATCTGTTCCATGTTGTCTCTTCTTCTTCCCTTGACTATAAGAAGAATATTAGACGTATCCGTGGATATTTTCTTGATGGAGCCATGGGTTCATATAACGTACTCTCGAACGACAATGAAGGGTCTGCCTTGTTCATCTTTCATAACAGAAGCTACCGTGGAAACCAATTAGATCTAGGGAGCATTGTAAATGCATAGGTTCGAAATAGCGAAACAATACCTTGTGACATATCAATCTCTGTTCCGCCGAGTTGTTAGCAGGGTTCAACCAGGGGAGGGGCACTTTGAGCATACTCATCGCCATGTTGAAAATCGTACCGCTGAGCGGCCAAGGCTATCGACAGGGCTGGTGACTCCCGGAGAGAAAAAATTACAACCCTCAGGAACAATGCTGTAAAGATACGATTGGAAACTCGAGACTGCAGCACAAGTCAATCGTCGGCGCGGCCTTGGTGATGGTTTGTCATTGTCCAGATAAATTTGGGTGGAAGAGCTCTTTGCCAGAAGGAGTTTAGCCCCATCCCCACGGCATGCTGAGTCATCATTCCTCTGCAAAACGCGAACTTTCCGCGAACTTCAAAATAAGAGAGCTCTCCTCAAGCTTGCGCCAGTCGTCATCCAACCGCCGTACCCCAGCAGCCAGCAGCGTTTCAATTCGGCTTATCGCCCTCAACCTGGTCGGAACCGTGCCCGCTACTTTGTCGTCTACAATGCCTCGTGAGCCGCCCTATCCTTGTCTCTCCCCACCCACAAAGCTCCAGCTACATGCTGCGGACGAGAATGGTGAATGCTCACAGTTCACTTAGCGCCGCTTGAATCTTCGAGCGAAGACGAATCCGGCGGCGAATCAATCCCTTTTAAAGATCCCACTCAAGACACCAAAGAACCTGATAGAAGCGCCGATGATAACGAAAGTGAATCTGGGAGTGAGGGCGAAGGCGACGATGTGTAAGTTTAGGAGAAGCACCTCAAAATATTAAATCTAACTCTTTGCGCTAGCTACGTCGTGGAGAAGATTGTAAACCATGAATTCGGCAAAGGCGTGAGCATACCTTCCTTGGTTCGTGATTTTCCCTTTTTGGCCAGTGTCTGAGTTCGGTCTTTAGGGAAAACTATTATTTCAGGTCAAATGGAAAGGATACGATAATCCCGAGGACTTGACGTTAGAGCCTGAAGAAAACCTGTATTTATTTCCCACTTCCTGCTGCATATTGCGCACGTATTAACCGAGATGGACAGGAGCGGTGCACCGGACGCTCTACAAGAATACTTTACAATAATAGGCGGACGCCCAGAGAAACCGACCCGGAAACGGAAGTCGATGGGAGGGGGCACGACACCTAAGCTGGCGACTAAGAAGGCCAAGAAGTCGCTTGCGTCTATGAACGGAACTCCAGACACTGTAGAAGGCGCCGATTGGGTTCCAAAATCAAACAACTGGGACAAGGAGGTCAGGTCGGTCGAAACTATTATTCGCGACGGCGACAATTTATACGTGCTTTTACACTGGAACAATGAGAAGAAAGCAAAGGTGTCATTAAAGCAATGTTACGAGAAATGCCCACAGAAGGTACTGTTCCAATGTTGAAGGCTTATATATAAAATAGGATGCGCTGACAGGAGATCCGTTAGATGTTGAAGTTCTACGAAAATCATCTGTATGCCAATCTTGATGAAGAGCGATCCTTGATAAGACATGCTAACGTCGGGGTCCTTTAGTGTTTTCAGGGATGAATAGAGTTCGAACCACGCCAATTGAACTTTATACGGTGATATGTTTCCATCCCGAGATGTCTCACTTCATAAGGACTTTGAATGATGAAGCCGAAGCCATCGGCTGTCGGGGCACTCAAGCCGTACCCCCGCGGTGTCGCCGCACCTAAAGCAGTTGTGAAGGCCGGAATTTCCCTTGCGATGTCATAGGCCCCTGGCAAGAAGCTGACAGAAAGCTTGTGTTATTGGCGTGATTGATTCGCTTCGTCGCTTTATCGCTTCGATCTTTCCCATCTTCTTTTAATCAGCTTGCAACCCGACTTCAGGATGTTTATTTCCTTTCTAAATTTAAGGTTGATATTCGTTATGGGAGAGCGTTAAACGAAGGTAAAATCCTTCGTATATTTTTGTTTTGTATCGTTTTACGCAGTCATCGCCAATGATTTTGTATTTGTAGTTGAGCCTTTTAACCTGAGGCGAATAGGACGTTTATGACTTTGTCAACTTTCTCCTTCCTTCGTGGGTGTTATTTCGCAACACATACTTTGGACCGAAGCCGAGAAACATACCCATACGGGCTATCGATTATGGATGTATGTACACGGATTTCGCTTGCCAACGTCAAAATACCAGCTAAAGGTTATGGGTCTTTTTCCTCTGACATGAGCTGTCGCACCGTATTCAGGTATTTCCCACGAATATCGAAATTTTCTGTACCATGCTTCTCCTCTAATTTCTTTATGTCGATGGAATCGCTTGAGTCATGAAGGCTATCATCTTCCTCCGTCCATATTCCAGGAATATTGTTCGGGATGCCTTCGCCATTGTTCAGATGATCAAGTACCTTATCAGCCAAATAGGGATTCATGGATGTACACGAAAGAGCTTGGATGATCTGCCCTTTGTCTTTGGCCCTTCCGGTGTGGAGCCTTGATTCAATCCATTGATCAAGCTCTTGGATTTCTTCTTTCTCCTTTTCGGTTATTTCTTCGGAATTGGACTGTTCCTCTTCCTCCTCCGAGACGCGTGGGAGCGTTGGATAGAGAAGGCTGTTGACGTCGTTCACATGTTGCTGCAGATTGGCAAAGATATCTTGGGTGGATTGTTCTTGCGGTGCTGTTTCGTAATCCCCGTTGGACTGTGAGATGCTTTCACTTATTTCTAGAGGCGCCGACGCGCCCGAGGCCATAGGAATTGGTTCGATAGGGGATGGGGAAGTTTGGACAATGTCACCAAGGGCTGATATATGGACGGAAGGCTCCCGGATATAGTCGGTGGCTCGTCTTCTAGCCCCGTCGACCCTGTCGTAGGTTGACGCTGACGGTGAGACCGTGGCTGTTTCCATTCCTATTGTACGTCGCCGTTTTATGACGCTCTCGGCTGACTGCTCCTCTGCAGAATCTTGGGCGTCCGAGATGATCCGCTTTAGAGATGTCGTTGTGGATGCAGTGATGTTGGTTTCTGTTAGTGGGGCTATCTCTTCATTGGAATGGGGTGGTTGATGATCACTTTTGGCTGGTGAGATGGACGGCGACTTCCTTATAGCCCCCTTTGTCATCCTCATTTTCATAATATGCTTGGGACGGATAAATGTATGGAAGTAGTTTTTCCATTCGATTGGTGTATGACGATCCTACAATAGCTCATGTTAGATGTGACAATTACATGTAGGCAAATGCAGATATGCCGTACGTGATCTTGGGCAAACTCAGCCCAGAAGTCATTCTCTAGGGCTGGGTCGACCTCTAGAATCTTGGATGCGAAACGAAGGAGCTCATCTTCTTCGGAGCTCAGGAATGGAGCGGACATTTGTTCAATGGATTGCGAGTCCGACCGCTCCGTCCGCGCTCTCGGCGCTGAATTTTCCCCATCGGAGCCTGCGGGCTCAGGAGGGATAGTAGATTCTGCGGTTCGCGTGTTATCTTCTCTTGTAACCGGTCGTGGGCGATCCTTCACTACCTTAAGATAACGGTCTCGCCACGATTGATAAGTATGCTGCGGATGCTAGTATATGGATGAGTATGTTCTGATGGTTATATCATTCGGTAGACGGGCGGATACCTTTTCTTCGAGCTGTTGATAAATCTTGTTTCCCCTAATTGGCCCGCCTTGCCTCTCAATTGGCTTCACCCAATCGTAGAGAATTTGGTCATCTTCTGCGGTAAAGCCCACCCTGTGTCCTCTGGCGGGTATAGATACGGATCCTACTGGGCGGGCGTTGCCAGGTGCTGGTCCGGCCCGGAATTCCTCCAGATCCAGAAGCTTCCCGGCTCGTAGGCAGCGATCAATAAACTTGAATGAGTAGCTATGAATGATGCTACATCAATGACCTGTGTGTGCAGCGTTGGAGAGTACTGACGAACCTGCCAGGGGGAAGGTCCTTCTTCATGTGATCAACAAGGAGAATATCAGCGTTTTTCTCCAGAGGCACAACCTTCCCGCCATGATTCTGGCATCCAATGGACTATTCAGCATTTATGTATATATTATCACTTCTGCAATCTCGTGAACTCACTTTGATGAGGTCCGCGCACCAAGACCGCTGTGGTACGGTAGCTGACAAGAAGAATTTTAGGTCGTTAAACAACGCAGGGGGTTCAGCATCCGGAGACGTCATTGTCACGACTGAATAGAGTCAGCAGACATTTGCATGGTGAGAGCTTCTTCGTCGGGCCCCAGCACCTCGATTTGCCAGCCGCTGAGCTCCATCCACCGTGACGCGCTGAGGTCCTGCCATAGCAGAAATGGGGAGGATTTGTAAACCGTAGATCCACTAGTCCCGATACATTTACGTCGGAATATACATTTATCCGAATCCACAGTTGTTTGGAAGTTTAAAAATATATATGTTCTGAATTCAGAAACATAGCTTCTGATCCTCAACATAGAAATTGGGAAATGTTCAAACCCCTGATCAACAAATATATCTAGAAATGTTCAGGATACCTTTTCAGGTTTATAAATGTTTATAGTATAGAAACCATTATAGTATAGAAATTATTATAGTATAGTTACCCCAGCAGACACTGGAGAGATTTCAACTAATGCACAATACTACATACATCAAACCACCCAATCCATCTATAAAAAGAAAACACTCCAAGTGCAGTTGAGAAAGATAATCAGCAGAGCAGAATCCAGTTCAAGTCTTTCAGAATCTTTACTGACAGATATTGTGTAAAGGCTTGATTTGCAGATTGCAGGTAGGTCAATTATATAAATCTTATTTTAATTTACCTGCAAAATCAGCAAATCCAGTACCCTCTTGCACCAAATTTCATGAGCAGAGAACATGGTAAAAAAAACTCTTTAGCAGCTGTCCTGGTTGTGAGTGAATATGCATCTTATTTGTCTGATCTTAATGCCCAACACACAAGTATACTCAACCAGATCATCAAGTTTTAATTTAGTGTGATGCATATCTTTATTAAATATAAAGATCAGCTTTTGAAACAATCAGATTGGGGTCAAATCTTCATCAAGCATATATTGATATGCCCAATCACTGCTGTATGAAAGTCAGAGCTTTTGCAAAAAGAAATGCATAATTAGTAGTTCAGAAAGCCACATACTTTGTAAATCAAGCAATTTCATGACTTTACAGCTAGCTGGTAGTCAGCAGTAGGCATTAATTAAGGTATAAAAGAGAATGGTAGCATATGAATTATTAGCTTTATCAGCATTCTTATTATCATCTTGTTACTTATTGTGTTCTGATTGCACAAGATCTTGCATGAGAATCAGATATTTACAATAAAGTTACTTCATCTGGCTGCTGATATAGAGTTTCAATTTCATAAGAGCTTTATTAAGAACCAAGAATATAGTGTGTTTGAAGCTCTCATGAATCAGTAAAATCTTTTTAACATCATGCTTGTTGGTTTGCTACACAAATACTTTATATTTACAGTATTTATTCTCTCTAATCAGTATATTGTAGTTATTTAGTACAGCATACTTCTTTGTCTGATTGATATAGTACACTCTGATATACATGTTTGATCAGTGTTTCAAAGCATATAACATCTTACCTGCTTTTGGGGCAATACTGACAGTATTAATTAAAATGTTCTTCATCAGAGGTGTCACAATTCAATTAAATACTGGTAAATTCTGCTGTAATCTTAGCATTCATACTGCCCAGCTAGCTAATCATGATGCCTCAGCAGTCATAACAGTAGCATCTATCACTTTCTGAAGCATAGTTCAGGCATTGATAATTACACTTTTAAGTTCATTGTACTCAACAGATGTCTGAGAAGTCAATAATAAATTGCTTCTTGCAATAGCACTAAAGATTTTAGCAAGCAATAAATACAGAATGTCAGAATTAATTAACTGTTCACTAAAGAAGTTATAAAGAGTCTGCTGAACAACAGTCTGAATTCAGTTAGACTTTAGAGCAAAGCAGAATATAATTAGAATCACAATTGAAGCTCAGACATGTTTCTAGATTTGATAGAACTTCAGATAAATAATTAAAGACTGTAGTCAGACTCAGTATCTTCAAAATAGAAATCTCTGTAAACTTTGGCAGTATTTCTTCTGCCTCTCAGGTGTTAATATATGTGATATCAATAATATATGTGCAATTTTGGACAGGTCTGAAAATTCACTATGACAGGAGTCAGAGAGAAAAAATATCACCAGATTCAGTATCAGACAGATCTTTAAAACTAGAAAACTTTTCTTAACTAATTCATGAGTCTTCTACAGTGCTTCTTGCTTGTGAACAGTTCACTTCATCTTAATTTCAGCCTGCAAATTAAGTAGCTGGTAATGATATCAGTCATGTTTCACCAAGTCAAAATTCATATTGAATCTCTTCATATCAGAGACAGTACAGCTCCAACAGGAGACTGTTGCAGTAGAGTATTTAATTCCAGCATTGTTATTTTGCTGCAGCATGTCATCAAGATAAGTAATACAAGAAGTAATGACTCTGACAGTTTCTTCATCAGTTATCACAATGTCAAATTCTCTTTTAACTGCTTGTAAACCAGAAGCCAACACCCCCACAATATCAGAAAAATTTGTAGCATGAGACTCAAGAGCAATTATATATACATTGTTTCATTATCTTCTTTCAGAATCATTAAGTCCTGCAGAGATTATATAGAAGTCAGTTATATTTCAGTACATGTTTCAATATAGATCAAATCTGTCAATGAACAGCAGGAAGAGAATGAATATAGTGAAGCAGGGTATGATGGGATGCCTCATCAAAGTAGGCGAGTTGGTTGAGATGGTGAGAGCGCAAGAAGGATGAAAAATCACAACATAGTAAGGATGGTAATGGCCAAGTAGTAAGAACAGAGAAGTATGCCTTAACAGACACCTAAGCTCATAAGGAATAATAGTACTAAAGAGCCTGTACTAACACAGGCAGCTCTAATGAGAAACAGTGGCAAGCTTCATGAACAAGAGATCTTCATATTCTCTAACTAATAACCAAACTAGCAATAAAGAATGAGTGTGTGGAAAAGTACAAAGATGCATGAAGGTATTAAGCAAGATGCAGGGGCTATGGGTGGTTTATATAGCTCAGAGATAGTAGCTGGAGAGGTTTTGTGCCTCAGACCAGAACAATCTTTGTCCTAATATGGTACTGGAATCCCCACTACATTTCCTCCTGGCTTTCACTATTGGTGTCCCCTGACAACAGGCAACATATGAAACAAAACAAAGGCAATTTAGTAAAGAAAATAAGAGGCTAAGAATTAGTAACAATCTGGTAAGAAAAGAGATAGAAAATAAGAATAGAGAGTGACAGCAGCAATCTCTAATAGTGATCACCATGATTCTCTTCTTCCATCAAGTTCTCAGAAGGAGGGGAAGGCCAAACTGATGCTGGATCAATGTTGTTGTGCACACAATACCAATAGAATTTGTTACCAAAAGCTTTCTTTTCAATTTGGTATGTCTTGACAATGGCATCCAAAGCAATTCACATGACCTTTAGATGCCAGTTATTAATGAAGTCCTGAGCCTTCTTCTCTTCTGATCCAAAGAGAGTATCAAGCTCCTCAATTACCATAGGGTTGTCCCACCTAATTCAGCCTATCAAGGCATCTGATATAGCTCCTAAGCCTTGCAATTGAATAGCAGTAGGGAATTAATATGGAACTGATGCATAATGGTTTGAATGGCCAGAAGGTGATGATGGCTCTGAAACTAGATTCTTATGTGCAGCAGAGAGCTGTAACCAGATACCAGCTTTATTGACTTCAAGATGTTCATGATCCTTCTGGATTGCCACATACCAGGGTAGCATAGTACACCAGACCTTTTTGCATGGACTGTGAGCTTCATGGGGCAGCAGAGGGCTTGTAATTTGGACATTGCCAGGTTTGCAAATGATGTTGGTCCACCTAATACCAAATTTTCTTTTGTTGTCTTTGATATACATTGTATTCTTAATGCAGTGAACATAGCCATCAGTAGATAAGCCTTGTTCTTTGACTAGTCTCCACCAATTCTCTAGATGGTTATGCATTCCTGGCAAGATTTCTGTGCAGTCACTGGGCTCTTCTGCTGTTAAGATCAAGAATTCTTGTATCATGTTAATGCCCCTTCCAGTAGTAATAGCATCTGGAATGTTGACATTGATATGGCAAAATCCAGTTTTATCCCCTGGCTTAGCATACTTGGCATAATATGGATAGGAGATTAATTTCCAAGCATGGTCAGGTCTTGTCAGCATATACCATAGATAGTATGCAGGGTTCTGGCACATGAGTTGTTGGCCAATACTGTGATACATTGTTCTCAACCATCTGTAATTGTCATGATCTCCCATCATTTGCTGATGATGGTAGTACATATTGTATTCACCATTGACCTGAGTGAGTACTGTAGTAGTGGTGCCTTATAACCTATTGTTTCACCAGCACATTAGCTGGAGAATAATGACAGATTCAGTAGTCTCCCATTCCTTCTGAAGATTGCTGGTGGTGAACTTGTTAACTTCAGTGATCTACATGTATCAGTTAAAGTTGAATGTTCTCATGTTTGCAATCAGAGAGATAATTGGCTGATGTTTAAATTTATAAATGCCTAAAGCATCTTCAGCTCTAGCTGGTCTATTTGCCAAACAGAACCAGAGATAGGTGCTGTCATTGGTCTTGACTGAGCCAATGTTGTGACAATTTCTATGGATGTAAGCCAAATGATTGAGAAGCTCCTCTCTATTAAGTGTGTGAGTCTGCAACCTGAGTTTTGAAGCCATTAGTTTTGCATGGTCATAGTATAGATAGATATCAGCTTTCTTATCACTAAATGCCTTTCCTAATTGCTCCAGGATATGAATAAGCTCCAATTCTGAATGTGTTTTAATACTCTTTATCTTTTGCAGGAGTTGCTGTTCAAATCCACAGTAATGACAAGTACCAGAGTGTACTGCCATGACAGATTCTTCACACTCATGTCAAGGTATCTCTTCATCACTTTCAGGAGAAATAACAGACTCATCATCATCATCTAAGTCTTGAAGGGTTTGGTGTGCCAACATGGCTGCAATTCTTTCACTGCAGCACTTCAGAGCTTCTGATTGGCTGGATGGATTGGCCAGCACACTGGTGAATTCAAATGGTGGCTGTGATTGGCCAGTTTCAAATCCACACAATCTAATCAACATTATGCTATGTATAGAGACTCCTGACACATTGCAGCTATATGGCATAGACATT